CGGTTATTTTTTTACGGATCCCCGCTGCCACAGACCCTACAAGCAGCGGGGATCCATGGAGTCTCTCATCCCAAATGGATTTCTGTGTTCTTTCCTTGCAGATCAACTTCATTTAAAAGGATTTGGGTTCATTATTTTACTAGAAAAGTTATAAAAAAAGAAAAGAAAGGATATAAATGTTAAATAGAAAATATGCAAGGATTACACTGCAAAGTAATTAAACAAGCTAGCTACAAAATATGTAAATATAGACTTATAAAAGAAATAACAACTAACCATTTAAGACCCAATCGCGTTCCTGTTGACTCTTGTCACCATGAATACACATAGCAGGCCATCTACAGAGTGTAAGGCAAAACATTAGAAGACATTTCTACTAGAACTTGCACAAGAATAGAAACAAAATGATTGCCCTGCATAGAAAGTTTTTTTTATGCATAATTCCAAAGAACCAACAATCTTCTACTTTGCAAACATGTGCCTACCTGCAAAAGAGGCCATTGTTTTATCATTTTAACCCCTTCATGACTGAGGCATTTTTTTCATTTTTTGCACCCATGTTATATTCCACATTTTAGGCCTGAAAAATGACTTAAAACCCCCAAACATTATATATTTTCTGAATGCCAAGACCCTATAGAATAAAATGGTGGTAGTTGCAAATTTTTATGTTGCGCAATATTAGCGCAATTCCTTATTAAACCCCAACATTTAGTAAAAAATGTAATTAAATGCCCCAAAACACAACAAAATACCCATTTTTTTAATGAAATATAAAAGATGAGTTACAACGACTAAAACGATACCCAACATGCCCAGGTTACAAATTGCGTGCGTCCGTGAAACGGCGAAAAACTGCAGTACCCCAAAAAGTCCATTGGGGTCCCTTCTACGGGACACAGAAGCGATCTGGCGACAGGTAAGTCGCCAGAATCGCTTCCGTTGTAAAGCCGACAGTCGGCTTTACAAGTTTAAACAGAGTCTGTTTAAACAGCCCCGATGCTGGCGACGTACACTGTACGTCGTCAGTAAGGCAAACCTATTACACCAGCGATAATTGTCATTTTGTTTTACTCTAGAGCTGTGCCTCCCCAATATATTCAGTACTCTCTTGCATTACGTGCTGTACGTTGTAATCACTTGTACCCACTGTCATAGCAAAAATGTCATGTTATGTTAAAATCAATAAAAATATTTGATGTAAAAAAAAAAATAGGAATAATGGTCTTGTTATAAGAGAATTATAATTAGAATAAAGCCACAAGGGTTTCTGTAAGGACCAGACCACCCTCAAGTGATATTTTAATTGCAGGTGGAGTATTGCTGGCTAAACCTAGCTGATTTTGTCTCTCTCACTCCAGTAGGGTAATCTGTCCACCTATTCCATACGCTACTTTCCCTAGGCACCCCCCTCCTCCTGCAAAAGAGAAAACAGCGCCCTCTCTTCGTGTGATACCGCTTTTTATTCCAAATTGATAAAAAAAGCAAATTTTATACTCACAAAAGGGGAGAAAGACACACAACTTGTAGGTTCATGCATACAATGAAAGTCATATGCCACTAAGCCGATATGGACATCATAGCATCATCAAAGGCAATGGATAGGTAAGGGTTCATGTGTTTCAATGGTTAAAACCATCTTTTTCAGAACCAAAACCATAAAGAGATATGGTTTTGGTTCTGAGGAAGATGGTTTAACCATTGAAACACGTTAACACCTACCTATCCATTGCAATCTTGGGTCCCTTGAAGAGTGAGGATTTTTTGCCAAAGCGCGGAACAGTTTGGATGATATCCCACTCCTCCTGCAGTCTCTTCTCCTGTACATAAACTAATCTACACGTCCAGTATGGAGAGTAGATCCTTCTCATAACTGCTTCAGATGGGCAAACCCTGGAACGTCACCACCACAAAATTACCTAGCTCACCAATATGTAATTTTGCATTCCAGCACCAAGTATAAACTTAGATCAGTTTTGAATTGAATGGCTCTTGAAAATTGTATTTACCCATCACGCCTCATTCTGCGTGTTAGGTCATCACAGCGGCGCTTGGTTTCTACAAAAATTATGGTCTTATTTTCTTTCTCTGCCATTATTTCTTCCATAAGTTGGATAAGCCTGAAAGAAATAAGACATTATTGTAACAGACAAAAAGTAAATACAAATAGTATTGAGTCTTAAAGTGACACTATACTCAGGAGTTGAATCTTAAAAATGCTTTCAAGTATAACAAAATTGTAGCTTATTTGTTTATCACTCAGCTGTAGATCCTCAAATTGTCTCTAATATTATGCAGACACTGTCCTTCCTTCAGGAGGGTGGCTACTTTTGTTTCCCATAGTCCCTGTATATGTTGTCAAGTAGACACCGCTCCAAGCTCACTTCCCTGATAGACTACAACCTCACATTTAGTTAGCTAATTTGTATTGAAGGTATAGTCTCAAGGAGCAAACTTGGAGGGGTGGCTTCTTTACAACACACACATAGGTGGGCCATGGGGAACAAAAGTAGCCACTCACCAGAAAGACCGTGTCATCACCAATTCAGAGATGATTTGGGGGATCTACAGCCGAGTGATACACAAGTAAGCTACATGTTTGATAACAGTTAAAAGGTACTTGAATGCATGTTTTAGGATGTAACTCTTGAGTTTAGTGTCACTTTAACATGCATTAACCAATGGTGCCCTAGAGTGCCTACTATGGGAACCAACAGGTCAAAAAAGGAACAGCAGATAAAGTGACGTACTTGTGATCTTTTTCACTTTCCTGGCATACGTCAACAATTTGAAGGATATTATGATTTGCAGAGAGCTCCAAGTTTCCCACGTTGATCTGAACATAATCCCTTAAGAAGTCCTCAGCCAGTTGACGCACCTCTTTGGGCCATGTAGCACTCCACATCAGGGTTTGCCTATCAGGCTGAAGTTATCCAATTAAAATAAATAAAAAAGTATGAGACTAAGTAATGCTAATATCACAATAATTCCTGACCACGATTAAGCTTTATGTCAGGATACAGCAAAAATCAAATTTTTGCAAAGAAAGGTTAATAAATGTTCGTACCCTGATCTGGTCAACAATCTTACGAATCTGTGGCTCAAAACCCATATCAAGCATTCTGTCTGCTTCATCAAGTACAAGATAGGTACAACGCCTCAAATTAGTCTTTCCAGCCTCCAGAAAATCGATAAGCCGGCCAGGAGTGGCAATGCATATTTCTACACCTAAAAAGAAAATAATAAAAAGTTCTCTCTTTCATTTTCAAATTTTAACTGAACAAACTGGAGAGAAGCTGATTGGTTGCCATGGGCAACTGCTCCAGATTCTGATTGCTCCAGTTTTGTTAAATTTCCCCACTAGGTTTTCAGGTTACATGCACTTCGTTTATTGCAGTTTACGGCAATATGCAGCAGTGCTTTAGTTAAAGTAGACCTGAACTAAAAAGTGAAGTTTGCCATGTTATAGGGAACACATAGAAATGTTAAGCTGGCCATACACTTATTTTTCTTTTATTCAATCTGTGGGTAAAACAAAGAAAATATAAGATTCCTCCATCCACACTTACGAGCGTGGATTAAGCAATCCCCTGCAGTTTTGATTATATTCTGACAGCGGGCCAGAATTTCAATGCAGTCTGCACACCTTTTGCAGAAAAAAAACAATTATTGTAATTTGCTGCAAATACACTTTCAAGCTTACCTCTCTCTAGATCTCTTATCTGTGGACCCTTGGGTGCGCCACCATAGATACATGTGCTTTTTAATCGGGATGACTTCCCATAATCGTCAGCTACTTGCTGCACTTGCTGAGCTAACTCTCTGGTTGGAGCGAGAACTAAACACTGTAATGCAAAGTAATATTAGCTTTCACAAAGCCATTTGACATTATTGGCACTGAGCTAAGCAATGACAGTAAAACATGAATCTTTACTTACAATTGGTCCATCCCCACGTTCCAGATAAGGCTGGTGGTTAATGTGCACCATAGCAGGCAGCAAATACTTTAAAGAAATATAAAAAGATAGTGAAATGCTGAGAAGTGAAGCAGCCTTGCCCAATAACATACTAAAGATGATCTCTATGCAAACAGCTAAGCACACAGATGAAATACATATGAGAACTCTTTAACCTGCGAAAAGGATTTGTATTTAGTATGTAGTCCTACATACTATCACCAGATTTGCTTCACCAGATTTACACAGCCCTGTTACACAACATAGCCAGGTGTATGACACCACTTATGCTTAAAGGATACAGTGGTGCCCACTCTTTACCCCAACCTGCTGACTGGACACTAAAAAAGCAGCAGACTGATAGGAGAGAGCTGAGATGACCTTTCATGTCATCTGTCTGCCAGTCTGAAGGGCACTGGAGAGGAGATTGCATGTCAAAAATTTGGTACTTCTATTATGCGTGTTAAGGCACACATTTTAATGCATTGAAGTAGCCATTTATTTTGAATGGACTGGGAACCCATCCTAAAAACACACACCTTAGCTATATTTGGCAATGCAGTACATCAGAGTACAGAATACTAACATCTGTGCATTGCAGTGCACTGTAACACAGGTTTATTTTTTTCATTCAGAATTAATGGGATCCGTGTGTTCCTTTAAACACTTGCTGTCCGGAGCAATTTCTTAATATTTGCACACACAGGATAAAATCTGCATTTGTGGCTAAAAAATAAAGTTGCAATTTTTTATGTCACACTGTATTTGCGCAAATGTTTATCAAAACAGTATCTTTAGGATAAAATGCACTAAAATTAAATTTAGTGCACAGAAATAGAATACCCAATTTTTGGGTAAAATATAAAAGATGGGGTCACGTCGGGTAAAGAGATACAAAACATGTCAAGCCTTAAAATTGTGCTCGCCCGTGAAACCGCAAAAAGACTACAATACCCCAAATTTCCCATAGACGACGCTTTAAAAGCTTTTACTGCTCATCAGTTTAGTGTTACCAGTGGTTGATGGCCCTAGAATTATTACTCTCACTCTGACTTTTGCAACAAAATGTAACGTGTAACGCAATATTTGTTTTTGCGCAGTGGCGCAACTGACGCGTTTGCATTGTATGTGCATGCGCGTGGGGGGACATTATATATAGCCTCTTTCCCCGAAAATAAGACCTAACCCGAAAATAAGACCTAGTACTATTTTTGGGAGCTGCTAAAACAAAAGACCTACCCCGAAAATAAGACCTAGTTATGACTATTCCCAGGGCCGGTGGTGGCATAAGGGGGAACTTGAAGAGCCGCGGGAGAGGCAGGAGAGAATCAGCGGTGCCAACGAAGCCAGCGCTAGAGGAAGTGAGGCGGCAGTGGAGAGAGCAGAGCCGCATAAGCCGATGCCTTCTCTATAGCACAGGCGGAGTGATACCAAATGCACTCCGTCTGTGAGGAATCGAATATATATATATATATATAATCTTTAATTTTGTTTCTTTTTTACACTCAACTTTATTGCTATCACATAGGGGGCTAACAAGCCCCCTATGCAATAACAAATATGATGTGATATGTCCTCTTTATGGAGACATCAGGGGTCTTTCAGGCCTCTAATGTCACCTAGGGAACCCAACGAAGCTGATGAAGCAGAGATCTGCTTCACCAGCTTCTTCTCCTGGCTTAAAGAGCCGGAGAATGTACACAGGGACACCTAGGGACCCCAAAGAAGCTGAGATCTGCTTCACCAGCTTCCTCTGCTGGCTTGAAGAGCCGGAGAATATACAAGGGATGTAATACACATCAATTACAGGTCCAGTGATCAGAGGCTGGAAGCTTTCTGATCTCCCGCCAATCTATCAGAGGAGACCTGCCGTGCTGGTCCCCGGGCAAGCCAGCAGCAAAGGGGGGCACACATTCCGCCGTACAATCGATCCGGTGTCTGTATAGACGCTGGATAACTTGTATCTAAACAGCAATCTGCGACTGTTTAAAATGATACTAAGAACACGGCTGCAGCAGCAGCCGTGTTCTTGGTCTAACCGCTTCAGGACCAGGACGTATTTTGATGGTGGGCGATCCTGAAGTGGTTGATATACAAGTGTGAACTTTCCCCTTTAATGATCGATTAATGAATACATGGCTGCACAAATTTGTGTCCTGTACCTGTCAGGAGTTAAGTTTAGCTTTAAAGGATACTTTTTATGGTTATATGGGACAATCATGTAAACATAGGTACCTGCAGTTTTCTTTATGTTTTCGCTGTTTTTAAATGTGCTCACAAAGATCAGCATTTTGTTGCGGTCTCCCTCATCATGAGATGCCTGAAAATTACAATACTGCAACAGTCTAAGGGCGATTCACACCACCTGTGTTGGGAGCTGCGCTACTCGTTCTTTCCAGCACAGCCCCAATGCAAGACAAGGTAATTTGCTTTGTCATAGGCGGAGCTCATTCACACCACCGTGTTGCGATAGGAATGTGGTGGTGTGTACTGTACAAAAGTAAGGCATGTCTTACTTTTTTTTTCAACGCAGCGGGATGCACCATGGTACAACCGCCTTGCGCCTGTGCCCGTAAAATTGAATGAAATATCACCTGTTCGAACAAAAATAAAAAGTACACCAGCGCAGTGTCTAGTGTAAACTGGCTCTTACGGAGTGATCCCTTCCCAAGAAGTTTCTCTCAAAGCTAAGCAAATAGACTTGACAGGAATGGTCATTTACCAAAAAAATAAAAACATACACTGTATAGTTTGACATGTGAGGAAATAATGCATACCTGGAAAGTTAGTAAAAGGGCTAAAGTCTGGGGGGAAAAGAGAGCTTTATAAGAATGGAGATCACATACCGCAAGTGTCTTGCCAGAACCAGTCTGGGCAATGCCCACCATGTCTCGTCCACTCAAGGCAAGGGGAAATCCTTGGCACTGAATAGGTGTAGGCTCCTTGAAACGCTGGTCGAGGAGAACATCCATAACATATTCTGAAAATTGATGGGACAAAAAAAAAAAAAAAGTTACATACAGATTATTTTATTATATCAGAATAGTTTACAAGAATGTAACAAACCAAAAATAAGCAAAAAACTAAAGTTATGTTAACTTACGTGGAAAATTAGCCTGATGGAAATTATATATAGGTTTTGGGCAATTAACGCCTCTGACAGTAATTTCTTTCTTCCTGCGCAGTTCTTCTACTTCATGCTTTACATGATAAAGGCAAAACAATTAGACAGCAAAATGTGGAGCATACCAGATTTTTAGTGCAGGACAACACTTGCAGTAAAACAGTGGAAACTCAAGAAAATGCATTCTTCAAGACAACAATCTTTCATAATTTTCCCACATAATTCATGCTTTTCCACCTAGGTCATAATGTCACATTTTGCCATTACATAAAATGAAACTATATTCAACTGCTTTGCCTTTCAACACAGTACAGCACAGAACAATCTAATAGGTTGAATAACCACAAAGCTTCTTGATTCAACAATGAAAATAAAGAGGCTAAAAAACTACATGTAAAGCATACAAAAAAAAAAGTATATGACCAACATAAAACAACTTTGTCTTTCTTTGTTTTTCTCTCATTAATTGTACTAATTTACAATTGTTGCTTTCTAGCTTACTATTGTCATACAAGCTACTTCGGGGTGTTCTGCGTAGAAGTTCTTCTCAAATTTTGGAAGTTCATTTAAATCCCATCTTTTTTTGCGAAGACGTTCACCTGGATTACCAAACTTTGGAAACCGTGGGCCACCCATGCTAGAAGATAAAGAAAGAAAAAGCATTAAATTACAAAATATTCTGTTGATATTTTGTATAGAAGAACAAGCGCCAGATACAGCTTTTCATATTAAAAGGTGTATGCTAAGCAATGTGTAAATGTAATACAGGTATTTATTACCTCTTAACAGCACTAACACCACTCCTCCTAACAATACCATCTGTACAAGACCAGTGCCATCTTTGTACAGGGATCGGCATCTATATTCTGGATGAAGACACTGGCGCATCTATATTCTGGATGAAGACACTGGCCCAAAGATAAATCAATTACATAAATAATGATACTCCTATGTTCTTTATGTGTACATACACAATTGTCTCACAGCTTAGTCTCTATCCTGTACTCAAGGTGGCTTGCAAAAAGTTCCAATGTACTCTGGGGACAAATCTTTTCAGAGGTGATAATGCACACTAAGTCATAAAGCGCAGTAACACACATTACATGCGCTGCCATATATTGTCAACACCACTCCAACACACATGTGCAGTAACACCACAACGCACCTGCCCTGTTAGTTGCACAGAGGGAAAAAGGCAACACGCTCAAATTTAGTGTGCGTTGAGTTTCGGCCCATTCATTTTGATGAATGGGCTGTTTAATGCAGCAAGGGTCATTGAACGACAAAATATATGCTGTAGCACACTGCCTTGTTATGCAAATGGGCAAAAATTGGTCATTGAGGAAGTGACACTGGAGGGAAAAAAAAAAAGCTTCCTGTTGCCGCCACAGGCTACATCTTTTTCCCAATGTGTTTTTCTCAAGCATATCTTGACTGGAGCTCAAGGACTGCATACACTGTAAAAAGCATAAAATGATAGATTATACTGTAGAGCCTTGGTTCTCAAATGATGGGTCATGACCCAAAAATCGGTCGAGACCTCGTGTTTAGAGGGTCGCCGCATGCCTTCCACTTTTCTAGTCGAGAGGCTCCTCTGCCTCCCCCTAGTGTAGCACTGTCAGTTCTCGCACCAAGCAGCCATTCAAACAATGCTGTCTGGCACCAAGTGTCAGCTTGAGGTGGGATGGGACTATGGTCATGAGGGAGCTCCATCCATACGTGCATTGCTTACAGCTCCCTTGCATGTCCTCTAGAGGTGCCATGGTGACATCACATTATGGCCCCCGGCACCTCTACAGGGCGCGCAAGGGGGCTGTACAAACAATGCACATATGGATGGAGCTTTGTCACAGCACAGCAGCCCATACTGAACCCCAGGAAGAGGATACACTCCAGTTCTCCCAAGTAAGGGAGACTGGGTGGATGTTTAAAAAAAATAAAATAAAAATTTTTTTGGAGTGTATATGTGTGTGTGAGAATGCCTGTAAGTGTGGTAGATTGTGTATGTATTTCAGTGTTTTTGAGGGCCCGTTCACACTAGTACAGTGCATTCATTGCATAGTACCGTGCGATTAATGCACTGTACCACTTAATCACACCTACCATGCATTCTGGTGTGGGAGGTGTGTTGCGTTGCCATTCGTTTGAATGGTACCCCAAATGTACCCTCCACCCACAGTTTGATCGCCCACACCAGAATGTGCGGTACTGCAATGCTGTGCATTTCAGTGCATTGTGACCTGGGATGCGACTCAATGACCAAGGACAAATGTGGGTCCGGATGTTGCACAGGTTGAGAGCCATTGCTGTAGAGGTATATTGTGATAAGTCTAAGGAAAAACCAAGCATGTAAAAAAAGAATTATGGGGTGAGTGAAAAACACTCATCCCCATAATTCAAGCCAACCTGTGACACTGAAGCCATCATAGGTCGGCTCTATTGATCGGAAAGTCAGTGTACACATACCACTGATTGGCGACTTCCTGATCCTCTCCATGCAGAGAGCAGTGACTGTCAGTCACCACTCCCTGCAGGGATTCCCCTCTAGAGGAACGGACGGGGGAGGGGGCAGGCAGTGCTGACTCTGCCTCTAGAGAGGCTGAGCCAGCTGTCAATCAGCCAGCAGGGTGGATCTCGACAATATTGTTGGGATCAGCCTGGCTGCACCTCTGTGCTCTTAGCATATAGCGAGCAATAGCCTGCTATATACTGAGTTTTGGGTCACTGGAGGACATTAGTATATGTCCTTCTGTGACCCTGAAGAGAACTATGGCAAAAAAGGGAAGGCCATGGTTCTCTTTTAAGTTACTGAGTGGGGTGGAGTGGTCAAAAGCGGAGCCCGTTAAAACCTTATGATTTGAAACATGAGAAGCATTTAAAGGACTTGTAGCACTGGGTAGATTAGGTGTAATACAGGACTGATTAGTCAGCTCCAGTACTATGATTCGTGTTACAAACAAAAGTTTACTTCAGAATAAAACTGCATGCACAATTTTTTACAAATCGCACTGTACTGGAATGTACGGCATTGCGGTACCATGCATTCTGGTGCAGGCGATTGCACTGTGGGTTGGAGGTATGTTTGGGGTTCCATTCAAATGAATGGCAGCGCAACGCACCAGAATTGGTCAGGCAGAAACCGAAAATAACTGTCCCCCCCATCCTTTATTTATTTTTTAGAATGGTGGGGTGGGGGCTTTATTTCTTTAACTTTTTTTTTTAATTATTATTTTATTTTTCTTACTTTACAGTTAGGAGCTTTGGAGAAATATCAGAGGTCTAAAACAGATCCCCAATATTTCTCTTTTTTTTGTTTCTTTCAAAAGGGATTAAGAACAGTGTCCTGAATCTCTTTCTGCAGTCCCTGCACTCAATGAACAGGAAGCACTCAAAGTTCATTCATTAATCAAAGAGTTAGTAAACATATACTATGCCCATAATCATTAATGAACAGGAAGTAGTGTAGAGCACTTTCTGTTCATTCATAATTGGGGACACGGATTGGGGTATCTGAATACTATGTCCTCAGTAATTTAAAAGCATAGGGCTATCAGTACTGATCGTTGACAATGCTTCTCATTATCGATTAGTTGTTTCACCCCTATAGACAAGCCATGTCATGTGTGGAGGCAGCCCCCCCCCGCAGCCAAGCACTGTTGTAGCCATTCTTGGCACTAGAATTTAACAATTTGACAAATCTGGCACGAACGGGAGCAAGTACCAGAGCTCAAGGATCTGCAATGAACATTATTTCTCATTTTCAAGGACTCCACAATGGCTGCTAGAGTACCAAGTGACTGGCGGAAAGCTACAGTAGTACCAATATTCAAAAAAGGTTCAAGATGCCAACCTGGGAACTACATACCAGTCAGTCTAACATCAATAGTATGCAAACTGTTAGAGGGAATGATAAAAATAACTATTTAGTGGATTTTGTCCATGGTAATGGTATAATAAATCATAATCAGCACGGATTAAGGAAGGACCGTTCTTGTCAGAGCAACCTACCAACATTCTACGAAGAGGTGAGTAGAGATCTGGATGGAGGGAGGCCGGTGGATGTGGTATATCTAGATTTTGCCAAAGCATTGGACACGGTACAACATAAACGCGTAATGCACAAGCTGCGATTTATGGGCATAGATGAAATGGTGTGTACATGGATAAAGAACTGGCTACAGGAACGTGTCCAGAGAGTATTGATAAATTACTCTTTTTCAGATTGGTATAAGGTCAAGAGTGGTGTGCCTCAGGGTTCTGTGCTAGGCCCCATACTGTTTAACCTGTTTATTAATGATATTGGGGAAGGTGTTAAATAGTCATGTTTCTGTGTTTACAGACAATACTAAAATTGGGAGGGTAATAGACACGGACTTAAAGAGAATAACATTACAGGAGGACCTGGATAAAATAGGGGGGTGGGCAACTATATGGCAGATGAGGTTTAATGTTGAAAAAATTAAAGTAATGCATTTTGGGGTTAAAAATAGGCAAGAGGAATACATATTAATGGGTACTCCACTATGGAAGTCAGAAATGGAAAAAGATTTGAGGGTCATAGTAGCCCACAGATTGAATAATAGCTTGCAATGCCAGGCTGCAGCAAACAAAGCTAGCAGAGTACTGTCTTGTATTAAAGAGAATGTACAGTAGAGATAAAGCAATAATTCGGCCACTTAACAGATCATTGGTTCTGCCTCATCTGGAGTATGCGGTCCAGTTATGGTCACCAATCCACAGAAAGGGTGTCCTGGAGCTGGAGAGAGTCCAGAGAAGGGCAACTAAACTAATTAAGGGGCTGGAGGGCCAAAGCTTTGAGACAAGGTTACTAAATGTAAACTTGTTCATGCTAGAAGTGAGGAGATTAAGAGGGGACATGATTTTGATGTACAAAATGTTTAGTGGTGATGGCAACATCAGCAATAAACCATTCACAGTAAAGTCCATAACAAAGACTAGAGGCAACATCAGCAATAAACTATTTACAGTAAAGTCCATAACAAAGACTAGAGGCCACCACCTAAAACTGGTGAAGAAAAGATTTAACCACAGGGGGCATAGGGGCTTTTTTTTCAGTTAGAGTGGTTAAAGTCTGGAACTCGCTGCCACAAGCAGTGGTATCAGCTGAGAGTATTTAATAATTCAAAAAGTTTTTAGATACCTTCCTCAGAGACCGTAATATACAGGGGTACAGGTACTCTAAAGGTGCCCATACACCTTACAATTATCTGCAGATTTTTCTGTGGTCAGATGGAAAAAGTGCAACAGATTGGACCAGGTGGAGATTACTCCATCCACACAGTTAAGTGTAGATGGAGGAATCTGTTCCACCTTTTCCATCTGACCACAGAAAATCTGCAGATAATTGTAAGGTGTATGGCCAGCTTTAAAAACAAGATCACACAGACTCGTGTACACACATACACAAATGATGGATGGCCTCGATGTAGCATGTTCCTGTTCCACCGGCCGGCCATACTGTCAAGTTGCTTGAAGCCTGTTCTTCATTTCTCCTCCAGGTTTGAACTCTTCCCCGACTCTTCTTTCCAGGATCTCAGGTACTGTGTTCTTTCCGCTTACCGTGTCCACTTTCTCCCTTGAACCATGTTTCTTTCCTCCGGATCCCTCACTGACTTC